GTGGAATAGAAGAATCTTTAGATGAAGAATGATGTTCAAGACTTTTTACTCTACTGATAGTAAGGTTCTTTAAATTTTGAGTAATTTGTTATAAAGATAAGTTTTTAAAAATTTGTACAAATGTTATTTGTATCACAATAAATATTAACCACTTTTTGGTATGCATTACCTGTTTTTCTGATAGTTTTTTTCGAAGAACCAACTAATTTATTTCATTTACAAATCAAATCGCAGTATCAATTATTATAGTATTACTGTACTGCCTTTCAATATAATCGTAATAAAATTTGTTTTGTATTTTCAAAAGAAAAAACTATTATGTAACGGTAACTTACTACAGATGGAGCGTGAGCAATGTTTACTTGACCACATACAGTAGTGTATTGAGCAGAATCTAAATATCCTGTTCCATAAAGTTTTTCTCCTGAAAAAAAATCAGATGGTAGCATAAGCTAGTGTCATTTCAATCAGTTATATCTAAAAAAAAATTTTTTGAAACAAAGAAAATAAGTTATTTTCAAATTTTGTCAAAAAAATTTGTTCTTGTGATGTATAACACAAAAAAAGAGTCGGAGTATTATGTATCACTAGTCCATGTTAAATTTTTATTTTATTAAAAAAAAAGCTGCGTAATACTTCTAATAAAAAGTGTCAAGAAGTCCTTTTAAGTATCTTTTACTTCATGGCTTATTAAAGCCAATATTAAACAATTATGAAATAATAAATGTTATACTATTATTACGTAAGATATTTACAAAGTAATAAGTTACAATCTAAGCTCGAGGTTGGGACTTCCCAAGTAATACAACCGTACTTCTCCCTCCAAACAACGTGTTGGACTTTTTAACCTTCCTCTTTTATAAATATAAAGAGGATTCATTGATCTCAAAGTTTGGCGTGCAACGTAACCTTCCAAATTAGAATCAAAGTTCCTAATTTTGGACTAAAAGCAGTACTAAAATAAAGAACCTTTCTGCTAAGTGGTTAATGAATAATTTCGAAAGAAAGAAAAAAAAAGATCGTTTACTTTTTCTACACTTAAAATGTATAGTTAAGTTATTTTATTTGGCCTTTTTCCTGGATACCTATCGTAGCTAAGTTTTAAAAAAAATGGATTTTTCAATTTGGCTTTTCTAACTCAATTGTGCTAATTAAAGTGAATGAGTTTTTTTAATAAGGTTAAGTTTCTTTTTTTTCCCTATTATTTAAAAAAATGTCATCAAGAATCAAAGCCGTCGTTGACTTACATGTAAAAAAAATTATTTGTAAAAAATGTAAAAAAAAAAGTAACAAGCGTAGACGTAAAATTGCGTACGAATAAAACTAGAAAGATCCTAGGTTTACCTTGACTGACGACACATGAGTGTTTTTTAAAAATACTTACTATTGCTGGAAAAAAATTAAGCTCCATTGATTATTATTCTTTTTTTTTTTCTTTTTTTTTTATCATGATCTTATTCATTATGAAAAGTTAATATTAAAAATGTAAGTGTTAACTGGCTTTGAAGTTAAAGAATCCAGAAGATCGTTTAATTCCATCAAAAAAATTTTATTGTGTGTAGAATATACAAAAATACTTGCAGTGTTGGGTTTGTGTGTCAGGGTATGTGTATATAACTTGTCATTTCTAATGACATCATTGACCAATTTCAATTAACAGTGCTTACAGCCTTGAAGCAGATTACCCTTAACTGCTTTAATAATAAAAAAAAAAATTAATTTCATTCAGTAATGCACAATACCCTTTTTACGTGTGGTATTGATTACCTTACCATTTAAGCTCAATAGTCAAGTGTAAACATTACTAAATGATATATATATATATATATATAATCGTCACCTGCACGCCGGCAGAATTCAGCAACAATCTNAATTACATTTACGAATGCTGTCAGAGAAAGCACTAAAAAGTAACCACAAGATCATCAAATCTTTTCGTAGGCATTACAGAAGGAAAATTTTTTGGTCGGTACATGATTAAAAAGTAAAACACAAAACTGACAACTTGTGCAGAGAAATAGACATCATAATCAATTGATTCGTTTCTCAAAATATCTATTAATGCATATATTTATTTATTTATTTAAGCATTAATACTCAGGTATGTGACCCCATACGTTTCAAATGACAAATAATCTGCTGAACCACGAATACAGAAACAAGCGCTTAATTCCATACAATACAATGAAATAAATGACAAACAATCTTACAGCAAACAATAGAATCACTACGCGATACATATTGAGGTAGTAGTCTCCCCGAATATAAGAGATGAAGAATAGAATCAATATTCTTCTGTCAACTAGTGTATAATTAGCTTACTATTAGTGTCAGATATTGTCGGATAAAGAAGGTATATAACAATATTTTTTAATTTTTTTTGTGAATCTTTTTATCAAAACATGGGATAAATAAAAAGACAATGTTATTTTCACTTTAAAACTTTTAATTTCTATACGATCAAAATAAACAAAATATGAATTTCTTCTGTAATTTAACACTGACAAATTTATCAGCCTTAACCAGGAACAAAATGTATCTTTGGTACAATATTAGCTCATTTTAAAAAATAAAAAAAAAAAAATTATTAAAGAAGCTTGGTGTCAACAATAAATACGATTTTTTCTGCAAATTAATGATGGTGAATGTGTACGTATTTAGTTTGAGAAAATCTTACCTTTGTTTGTTTAAACCACACAAAAATTGATGGGTTTTAAATAAATGTACTGTTGTTTGTTTTATTTAGATAATATATTGTTAGAAAAATTATAAATATTACTCTATTCTAATCTACATTGTTCTCTGTGTATCTGGCAATGTCACATTTAAATTTAAAAATAATTTTACGCTATTTGACTACAGGGAATTAATTTTATTACTTATACCTATTTCTTGGGAAGCTATTACCTCAAGTGCATAAAAACTATTGGCTGATGTCTTACAGTAAGCTATTCCAACTGTATAAAATAGACCTTTTTTTTTAATGTTATTCAAACTATGAGCCATACTCCGTACAATGTAACGATGTATCAGGAAAATAAGTTTGTAAAAACGGTAAGGCATAATTTACATATAGGACTAGCGTTACAGATATTATCCACATCTATATTTGAGCTTCACTTTCTAATTTCCTGAAGAATTGTTTTTTGTTATTTTGTACATTCATAATACTCATATACTTAGTTCATACTTATGGTTATTATAACAAAATATTGAAGATGTGTAGTAAAAACTTAATTTACATAGCTTACAAGAATAAAGTAATTTTTTCAGCATCCAAGTTACATACAAACTTTTTGGTGAGTCTTATTAAGGGACCTTAATGATAATGATTTATAATAAAAAATTCTAATGTCTTTTCATAAACAAAATTATAATTAAATTAAAGGAAACAAGTACGATGTAATAAAATATTGTGTGCTTATTTCAGCGTTGCAACGAACGAAAATGTTTTTCATCTCCTACTTTTAAATTCTCATTCCTTGTTATCATTAACTTGAAATGTTAAAAAAAAAAAAAAATTTAACTACTGAAATGCTTTATTGGTTAATGAGAGGAGTGGAATAGAAGAATCTTTAGATGAAGAATGATGTTCAAGACTTTTTACTCTACTGATAGTAAGGTTCTTTAAATTTTGAGTAATTTGTTATAAAGATAAGTTTTTAAAAATTTGTACAAATGTTATTTGTATCACAATAAATATTAACCACTTTTTGGTATGCATTACCTGTTTTTCTGATAGTTTTTTTCGAAGAACCAACTAATTTATTTCATTTACAAATCAAATCGCAGTATCATTAAGATAATAGTAATATTACGAAACATACATAAATTCAATAGTAGTATTGGATTGTGTAATATTACGAGCAAAACATTATATTTATTATTTATTTTTTAATGACTCTAACTCAATTGTTTATCGACTTGTTACCAACAAGTAGTAAATAAAACGTTAGTTTCAATAAAATAACTGTTGTTAAAGAAAGCAACTAAAAAAACTGTGTAAAAGTTTTATACACACGATAAATTCTTGATCAGTGAGCATGAAAACCATAAAAAAAGTATACTGCTAGCTTAGTTAGCATTTTTGACATATTATTTGCTTAAGGTACTTAGTAAAGCTATTGGTTTTGGTGAAATAGACGTATGATATTTTTATTACAACAACAAACATAGTTGAATCGTGAACATAATTTTAATCAGCACTTTTAACTTAGTATTTGTTTAAAACAATTGTTTATAATTTGATGCTTTAAAAAATAAACAATAGATTTGTATTGAAAGTCCATAAAAACCATGGAAATAGGGTGGTGTTTATAGTTTTAACGATTTGCACCAACTATTTGCTTCAACAAATTCTTTAAGCAATTAGTTCCTGCAAAATAAATGGCAAATTTGTTATTAGATATTAAAATAAAAAAACAAAAGCATTGATTGTTTAAAAAAAAATTTTTAACTATAGTTGTTTAAACAATTTGCTTCAACAATTTCTTTTTCAATATAAATACCAGGTTCATGCTCAGCACCCGTGGAAGCCAGAAAAATCACTACTAACTTGTTTTTCTTAGTCACACCTCTCACGGAAATTAAATATAGGCAGCTGGGTAGTTCTACAGCAACGAGTTTCGTGCCACCTTTATAAATCATACAGTAACGCAGACATGTGAGGAGAACGGATTCTGAAACTAGACTTCAAGACGACTAATATCACACCCAATAATAACTTTTTGGTGCAAAATTCAGTTGAAGCGGGAATTTTGACACTTTTTTTGCGTTTCGTCCTACTGTGCACTATGGAGTAATGCAAAGAATCGTACTGAAGTTTATAAGTGCTTAGGTGATCCCATACAAGCAGGAAATAAAGGATAACGAAAAAGAAAATAAGAGTACCTATTATGGAAAATTTAGACAAAGTGCAAAGTGTCGTAATAAGTGTTAGGGAGGACGAAATTCCCTCGTATCCAGGAAACGAGTCAGAGTCAGAATGGCTGATCGTGTTTTTGGAGCATAGCCTGGAATTCCAAAAAGATTCGGAAAAATAAACAAAAATCAGCGCCTTTCCATGCTATAACTTTAAAAAAAAGTGAAACCAATTATTACCAAAGGAAAAGTCACCTCAACCGCTGTACAAACAGCAGGGCTGAGTCCGGAAAATTTCAATATAGATAATACCGTTGAAGATAAGTCATTCTCGAAAGATGTGAGATATGGGGCTGCAATGATTATAAGCGTTCATATGAGGAATGGGGCAGTACACGCTGGATACACACTCAGAAATTTTAATACTCAACGAAAATTACCATGGAACTCAAGACGGATTCTTGAAGAGTTTACGGCACAAGAATACGGAGGATTTGCACGTACTGAGCAATTAGGTATTTCTTGACCTATCGACGAACTGACAAAGGTACAAATCTAAAGCGT